TATTTTTTTTTTTTTTTTATTTAAAAGTTTCTTGTCGGTCATGAGGCTTGAATTCTGGGCCTGGGTGCTGTCCCTGAGCTCTTCAGCTCAAGAGGAGAGCACTGCCACTTGAGCCACAGTGCCATTTCTACTTTTCCTTCCTGGGCTGGCTTTGAACCTTGATCCTCAGATCTCAGCACTACGGAGGTGGAGGCAGGAGTGGTTAAGAGACCGTATCTCAAAAACAAAAAAAACAACAAAACCAGAAACAAAGGGCTGGGCATGGTGGCATATGTATATAATACCAGCTACTTGTAAGATGGAGATGGGGGCAAAGTTGGCACAAGACCCTAGCTGAGGGCTGGGAAGGTGTCTCAGTCAGTAATTGAGTGCTTGCCTCACATGCATGAGGCCTGGGTTCAATTCCTCAGCACCACATAAGCAGAAAAAGCCAGAAGTAGCATTGTGGCTCAAGTGGTAGAGCGCTAGCCTTGAGCAAAAGCAACTCAGGGACAGCACCCAGGCCCTGAGTTCAAGCCCCAGGATCAACAACAACAACAACAAAAAAATCCTAGCTGAATAACTAAAAACAAAAAGCACAGGCATATGGCTTAAGTTGTACTAAGTACAAGCAAGAGGCACTGAATTCAATCTCTAGTAATACACACACACACACATACACACACACACACACACAACACACTCACTGAGGATGTAAGGATATAGTACCTGCAAAGCTCTAGGTTTGATCCTCAAACAACAAAAATGATACAAAACAAAGCCTATCTATGGATACATACACACACACACACACACACACACATACACACACACACATACACACACACACGTATTTGGAGGTAATGGCATGCATTCAGAAAGTTAAATATCTAACACTAGATTAGTGGGCTACGTTGAGACTTTTCCTTCTGTGTGTGGTGAAGTTGAGAGGAGTAGCTTAAAAACCTGGACTGGTTCCTGAGGTCTCAGGATGATATCAGGGATGACTGCACAAGCCACACACATGCTCAGGTATCTTTTGTAGCTGGCAGTCTGTACAGGTCTGGATGTTCAGATAGAGATAAACCTTTCTCCTCTACCTCCCTGTACCTGAACTCAGGAAGGGGAAGGGAAAGAAAGGGTCAGGTAGGGATCCAGATGTGGACTGACCAACTATATTGATGTACTTAGGACTGGGAGGTTCCTCAGCACATGGGACTTTCAGTGGTAAAACTGGGAAAGTCCTGGGCAAACTGGAATGAATTGGTTACGCTGTTCAAATACTCCCTGAAGCTTGAAGCAATGAAATAAGCACTGCTGCTACTGTTGAGGTCAAATCCTGGAGGTGGGGGAAGTGTAGAAGGATAATTTGGAAGAGAATAAGGTGACCATGACACTTTCTGAACACTAGAACATCCATTTTCCTTAGGCCTGCAAAGAAGTTGCAATAGCAGACTTATACAACCTGATACTGATTCTCACACACACAAAAAAAGTAATTCTGGCAGACACACATATTTTAAAGACTGGGCTCAAACAGGTTAGAGGAAAAAAGGAAAAGATTATCTGTCAAATAAAAGAAAAGCATTTAACCTCAAAGAGTAGGTGGAATACCAATATGGTGAGCAATTTTATAAATTGAGCACTTCAGCTTTTAAAGACACATAATACTTCTTATAATTTCTAAATTGAGTTACCTGTCCACCCATGAAAAACGTGTAACTTATGCACATTTTTCTTAGAGCTGGTTAAAATGAAAGGCAGCTGCTCCCAGCCTATTTCTACCAGTGAGAGGTGTGCAAAAAGACAAACAAGCATAGGCTCAAAAAGAAGTTTGTAATTTTGTAAGTTGTTCAGGTGAGTCACACTTCAAAGGCTTAATGCATTGAAGCACTGTGTCAGGCA